GGGTGGGGCTGCGTGGGGTGCGGGCCCGCTGGGTCCCCGGCGCGCGGGACCCCGACCTGCCAGGGCAGCCGAGGGCTCACGTACAATGAAATGCAGGAACTGCAAGCCTGCCCTCTAAATGCGGAGCCAAGGAAAAGGGCAGTTTGGACCAAAAGCTACGGACTGAGGAATCCTGGAGGTGCGCTTGGCTGCCTAAGTCAGCTCGCTCCGGGCGGGCGTTTGGAGACCGGCGGCGGGGCGGTCAGCGGCCGGAGAGTTTAGGAACAGTTAGTGCGGGGACGGTCGCCAGCCAGGGGCCAAAGACCCAGGGATGTGGGGGCTAGGGTGAGTGGCCAAACCCTCTGCATCGGTTCCCTAGCAGAGAGCCACAGTTTGGAGCGCCTTTCTTTTTAAGCATGATGGGAGGAAAGGTAAAAATAAGTAAACTACAGAAGCGTCAGGTAAATCCATAGTAATGATTCCTGGGACGGAAAGTCAGTAAGGTTATTTAAAATAAATAAAATAATTCTTTAAAATAAATAAAACATTTAAAATAAATAAAACTTACTAAGCCCGAAAGGCTGGAACAGATAGTTTTCTTAGTGGGGAAAACTGATCACGCCGTCAGTGTTTAAATAACCAACGATATCTAAGTTGCAATTAGATCTGTAAAACTAATTAATAGACACGGAGTAGGTTTGCTACCTTCTGAGAACTCATAGGTTGGGAAAGAGACAGACTATGTTAAATATCGCACGTTCTATTGCGCACATTTTTTTTGTTTGTTTTGAAAAGCTGCTTAAATTAAAATATAATTGCGTAGAGAATTTTTAAACCCTCACCGGTCTGTTATATAAAGGTAAACCTAGGTAAATTTCTCTGAACTAAAAAAATGCGGTGGACAAAGCGCGTTCCTGGATTTTGTTTGCTTCACACACATCTTTATTTTTATTTTAAAAAACGTGGTAAAGTTTAGTGAAGCGTGGTTTTGCTTGAGTTGAGCGCCTTGGCTTGAAAGCTCTACGGGATCTTGCGTAGGATCTTCTAGGGATTTTTCTTGGATTATAACCTATTTAATGGGGCAGAAATCTGACAGCTCTGTCTGTCTTTTAAAATGTTTTTAGAAGTGTTATGGGAGGAAGAGGGACAAACGACGGCAGGGTGCAGCCCCTTTACCTGTTTTGGAAACGTTTTATCAGCGAGCGCGCAGGTTTGTCCCTGGAAAGTGCGAAGCGAGCCTTTGAAACCGCAGCTTCTCCGGCTGGATAACGAACATCGCACAGCCAATCAGCTCCTGCTTTCTAAGCCCGTCTGGGCTTTTCGATCCTACTAGGGGTGGGAGCTGCGTTTCTCTGCCAGAAAGAGGCCCCAGTTCTGCCCTGTGGGCTTATCAGGAGTCTGTTTGCACCTCTGTCGAGCCCAGAGCTGTGTCTCCGCAGATGCCATAACTCTGAATATTTATCAGTTATCAATATCGTGTGTGTGTGTGTGTGTGTGTGTGTGTGTGTGTAAGTGAGCGCAGGCACGATGTGTAAAATAACCAGAGATTCAGTAATACAAGCAGATCATGTATTTTTCTTCTAACGAGTATTGACCTTCCAAATCTGTAGAAAAAAGATGCCCCAGTTCAGATACTTTGACGTCCTTTGTACTGGGATCTTTCTCTCTAGGAAGGTTAGTATTTTCCCCCCAGCTTTAAAACTCATTTTCCCTTAAGGCATCACCCTTGAGCAAGCCACAGATCTTCCTCCCCCTTGTTTTTCTTGAGTTCTTGAGCCGCTGACATTTACAATTTACTATAATTCACTATAGCTGAGTTTCCACAGTAACAGTAAGTTCATTCAGAATATATATGAAAGTAATAACTATTTCCAAGTTGAATGTGATGCGTCTTTCAACTTACAGTTTCTTTTACATCGTAAAGTTTTTGTTTTTGCCAAGGTTTATGAAGGCACACTTCCCTCACCAGGCTGCACCTTTGAAATGTTGGTTATTTAGGACCTTTGGCGGTCGCATAATTTTCCAGCGGATGGGTCACGTTGCTGATAAACTAGGCAAGCACCTACTCCAGTTCCTCAAATATTTTTACTTTATTTTTGAGTACAGTACTTTGTTAGTTTTTTCTTTCCCTGATGAAAATTCCCTTAACAGGATGTGTCGTTTCTTGTCTAATAAGTTTTTAGTTTTCATATGTGAAGTGCAAAACAATAGAATATATGGTTGATTTCTAAGGCCCTTTTTCTAACTCTAAAATTCAGTAAGTGATTCCAAGAAATAGGCTGAACTCAGCTGTCTTTCCTCCCTCTGTCTCTTCTCCCTTCCTTCCCTCCCTCTCGGCCTCCTCCGGGTCTCTCTCATATTTACGTTTGCATACAGCACCAAAGCTAAAGCAGAGATGCTGTGACAGTCAGGATGAACTGAGCTTCCCTGCTACTAACAGTAACCACTGCACTTTCTTTTGCTCAAGCACAGTAGAATAGACTTAACCGCCCAACTGGTCTTTCTAACATGCGTGCTACAAGAAATGGGCTGATAGAGGATGCCTAAGTCAGTAAATCATTATCTTGAGCTTTTCATCAGCAGAATGTGCTACTGCATTAAGTCCTAAAGGTACCAGTCATTTAAAACCCTATGTATTTCTTGATTTTAAAAAATTGTTCTAAAGAAATGGCTTTATTCTAAAAAAAAGTTCCGGGTTTCAATAGGGCAGCTAATACCCCTAATTTAAAAAGTGAACCTATTTTGTGTGACTTAAGAAAATCAAGTAATTGCTTTATTTTTATTAAAAACTATTGGGACATTTCTAAATCTATTTTGAATTATAGAATATAAAAATTGAGCTGCGCATGGTGGCATACACCTATACCCTCAGCATTGTGGAGGCTGAGGCAGGAGGACTGCCACCACCCAGAGCTCCAGAGTGTGTTCAGGGCCAGCCAGAGATACATAGTGAGAACCTGTCTTAAAAGAAAAATTGAAAATATGTTGCAAAAATGGGTGTATATTGACCAGAAAAAGTAACAGCCTTAAGGAAGATTGTTCAAGGTATTAACATCCACCCGGCAAAGTTATGGCCCATGTTTACCCTGACTTCACAGTTCAGCAAGAAAGAAAAACAGCGTAAGTAGCTTTCAATTGGTGCGGTGGTTGCGGGGAAAGAGCAAGAATGGGAAAGTGCAGAAGCTGCTTGGTGCTAGGATGTCAAATGCAAAGTATGTGGATAGTATCCAACAGCCTGTGGGGTTCTTCGGTTCAGCTGCTTGACTAAGGGGATGTTGGGTGATATCAAGTAAATGTCATTTTTTAGCACATTTTTCACTGTGGATAAGGGAGGGTAGGCATTTGACATCACTCCAGGCTCTATTTTTTTAAAGTAAAAATCTTTTACTGTGAGTGGTTGAAAAAGACAAAAACATTTGTTCATTGGGATTAAACAGCTTTATAGAACAAAACAGCCCAGCACTTTCCACTGGTTTTACGCTACTGGAGAGGCTTACAAGGATGACCAGGTCTCCTTCCAGACGCTTTCCAGGAGGCTGTGGAGTGCTCACATGTTTGGGTGCACGCTGCTCCTCAAATTGCTGCATTTTATGCCTGATTGAGGAAGGGAAGGAAACGGGAGGAATGGGGTATCTGAGGGAGAGCTTGAAAGAAAAGGCTCTGGTTTAGCACATGGGGTTGCAGGGGGTTCATTAAGGAAATGGTTCCATTGAGTCTGCTGAAGATAGTGGACTTGATTTCCTGCATTGCTGCTGGGGCGGATGTGGGGGGATGTCAAGAATTCCTGGGGATTTCCCATCAGCCTTGGTAAACCTAGATTCCTCAAAGATGTCGCTGATCCTTGGTCTTTTCCTTGATTTCGAGCTCTTTGGGAAGCTTGATCCTATCTCACCAACACATTCATTGAGAGAGCCAGATGGAACCTCACTGATCCTCTACTCATTTCAGAGGCCAGAAAACTGGCCCCTCGAAGTTTAGTGATATTCCTCCCCCAACCCCAAGGTCAGCAGCTGGCTGGTGGCAGACCCAGGATGGGAACCTGATGTCCGTCATGCAGAAATTTCTTTTTCGTTTGTATTGTGCCCCTCTACCCCATAGTAGAGGTGGTCAAATATTTACCGAATAATACTACAGTGCTAAAATTTCTAAATAACAGCATCTTATTTTTAATTTGTGTGTGTGTGTGTGTGTGTGTGTGTGTGTGTGTGTGTGTGTGATACTGGGGCTAAACCCAGGGCCTCCTGTATGCTAGGCAAACACTCGACCACTGAGCTCCAGCCCCAGCATCTTTTCAAATCGGAAATTGTCTTCTATTTTCTGAAAGCCTATCAGGGGTTTAAATTAAGACTGTCAAAAAGGA